TATATTTATATTTATATTTATTATTAAGAATATACAGAATAAAAATTCATCATTAAAAATTAAATTGAATCAAATTGAAAATCATTTCATTTCAAGAAGTTCAACACTTTATATCTCAATAAAAAAGGAAAAATAATAAAAACATGATTACAAATTATTAATATTCTATATCATATATTCTATATGAATTTTAAAATATTTTCTCATAATAAATAATTTAAGAATAATTTATGATTTATTTAAAGTTTGATTTAAAATTTTCTATGAAAAAAATTCTATAATATTGAAAAGTATATAAATTGTCAAATTTTATATAATATAAAATATATAAAATTTATATAATAATAAACAGAAATTTTGATTAAAATAATTAGTTTTCTTTCTTTTAAGAAAAAAGAAACAATAAAATTTGTTAATTGATCGAATATAATTTTTATATTCTTCATGATTTTATATTTTAAATGAAATAAAATTAATTAATTTAAAACTAATACTAATAATAATGTTGAATAATTATTGAATGTTTTATTAAATATATTTTATTTCTATAAAAAATAGATACGTTATAAAAGTGAAATTCTCGCTATAAATGAGATTAAAGAGAATACTCAATACATCAAGTGAAAGTTTCGGAAATGCGAAATAATAAATTTGAAAAAGAAATGCATGAACAAGTTTTAAGCATAGACTAAATACACTTTCAATGATAAATTAAAATTTATATGAGTTTCTAGTAATTTTATAGTTAAAAAACAAATTGACGATCATTTTTCAGGTAGATAAATGAAATCATATGTTCATCATGATGTTAAATAAATTGCGATGAAACATTAAACGGAATTCATTAGATAGATTTTTAGAAATAAAACACGATGAATTGTATCGATAGAAATTCTTGATGATTTTCAATAAATTACTTCGATAAAAAATTGGTGCAATAATTGAAATATAGATTGTTTTTGGATGAGATTTTAAATTTTAAAGTAAAAGAACGATTTCAATTTGAAATAATTTTTAACTATTAAAAAACAGAATATTTTCGAATGAAACTTGAATAAGAATGATTTGTATCAAATAACTTACTTAAAGAAAGTTGTCAAGAAAATTTATTTTGTCCGCGAAAAGAAAAAATTCAAATTTAACTCATATTCAAATTTAATTAATATTCAAATCATGTGCAATTCAATAGTAACTTAACCTCTAAATTTTACATCTTCCAATACTATTAAAGCAATAGCTTTTAAAGAAAAAGTTAATAACCTCGATAACAACTTTTTGAGGAAACAAAACACAAGATATGAGTAACCAAGAAACATCAAAGGGATTTAATTGATTTTTTCTTTAAAGGAAATATTGGATCACTGCCCGAAACATATACGATATATACAGTATTGTTCTATAAGAAATTGACACATTTCCAATAGTTACTTTAAAATTTTAAAAATTGATGAGTAGAGAGTTGAAATACTTTACGCACTATAATAAGCTTAATAAAATATGATTCAAGAAATTTGATTCGTCTTCTAAACAATTTTCATGAAAAAGAAAAACTCTAATATGTAACTTTCACTAAAGTTAACCTATACATATAAACGAACAGGTTATTTTCATTCATTTCTTTTATACGTAGAATAAAAATTGACAATTTAATCAAGTAATATGAAAGAAAGATTAAAATTATAAAGAATGATTTATAACACAAGACATTGATCGAATTGATCGATCTTTTGTAAAGAAAGAAAAGTTGAATTCTAATAAAATACATCAGATAGAAAATTCACTTCTGATTGCTTTTTGATGATAATTATAGACTATGACAAATGCAAAATATTGAAAGGAAGTTTCAGAATAATTTGATTGCTTCCTTTGTAAAATACTTGGAAATTTCATTGAGATTTTCTTCGTAGATGTGTTTCTAATCGCTTCTTAAACTCTTGAAAAGAAATTAATGTCTTGAACAAGCGTTTCTGGAGCGGACAGATTTAAACCGTAAAATAAAGTAGAAATTATTCAACTATATTTTAATTAATTCATTTATTTAAGAAAATATTTAACAATAAAAATTAATTGAACATTTAAATATTCAAAAAACATATGAGAAAGCTGAAAAACAATTTTTTTGTTTGATTTAATACCAAATATATAACAAAAATATTCGAAATTTTATATCGAATTATTGATACATTAAAAATATTTTTTTTCAAAAAAATATATAATTAAAAAAAAAAATTATTGAAAATCAGAATAAATTAAAAATTAATTTCCTTAGAAAAAATATTCTTAAGAAAATGAATATACAATTCGAAATGATTAAATCCAAAAAAAAATTATAAAAAAATCACAATTCTTCAAAGAAACAGACCATAATTGAAATCATTTCAAGCAACGAAGCATAAAATAAAAACTTAAATAGAAAAATTGTTGAATATGATCTGTTACCATTAATGAACTTTTATATTTTTATAGATTCTATTTTCAATTAGTAATTAACATTTCCAAATTTAAAAAAATTTTCTAGAAATTAAAATTCTGTTTACTTTTTATCGAATATAATTTTTCATGAAAAATATTAACTTTAATTAATTTATTTTTTTATTTTATCAATTTATTATCAATTTAATTATCAATGTTTGGAATCAATATTGATTCCAAAATTGTTATCAAAATTATTTTGATAGACATATTCTTAAGTTAATCATCTGTAATTATATTTTTAAGAATATTTGAAAGAGATATATATTTATAAAAGTAAATATACCTGTTGCATACTCTAAACGAATGTATTTTTCAGGCTCAAGTGTTTCTTCACCACATAAAAGCGTCACTTTTTCTGCGACACGAAGCAGAAATCTTGGAAAAGATCTTGGAAAAGAAGAAAAATGTCGGGCGTTTAAAAACGCTTACGGCTGATCCTCATCTGCTCGGTTTCCCAAAGACACGCTCTTTGAGCATTTGATGCCCTCATCTTTCTTATTTCCAACTTGTGACGCATAATTTATTTGATACCACCTTTTCTCGTGGCTTCTGTTCAAATCGTTCAAATATTTGTCTCCTCTTTTTTTCTTTTTTTTTTCATCTTTCAGCTGTTCAAATTCCATCGTTCTTTCTTCGATTTTACTTTTAACAATTAACATGAATTCATGTTTCGTCGTATAGATCAAACAATTTGAAATAATTAATCTTTTAATCTTTACTCTTTTAATACAAAATTAATATTTGTCACAATGAATGACAATCAAAAATTCTTAATAAAGATATTTAAATTGATGAAAATTAAAAAATTTAATTTTAGAATTAATAATGATTGCGTAATTGGATCGTAAAATAAAATTGAAAAATTGAAAATGTATATCGTACGATGAATATTTCCATATTGAATATGGAATTTGATGAATTTAAAGTTTAAAAAATTCATGTTGAACCGTGTTTCGAGAGTTTATTCTTCGTGTTATATTGAATATATAGGAAATTTCTTCATGGATTAAAATGATAATATAAAGAACAAAATTTTTAAAAAGAAATACAATGCAAATATTTGTGAGAAAGAGAATCGCGATGTATCAAAATTTTATAATTCTCCATTAATTTCGAATCTTTTCCTTCTATAAATCATCTCTATATTTATTCGTCTTTAGATTATTGATTACATTATGATTATAAATGGATATACTAAATTTTTTTTTCTTCTATTACATATTTATTTTTTTTTTTGTAATATTCAATTAATACAATTCTCATATAAAGAAAGAAATTAAAAATTAACGTAATTATTTTTTTTCTAGGTTTGAAGAATATGACAATGTGTATTTAATTGGCAATATATAATTATATTAAAATAAATACTAAAAAAAATCATTTAAGAATGAAAGAAATAATTCCTTAAAAATTATTACTATTCAAAAATTGAGAATCACTGATAGAATGAAAGATGTGAGTATATATTATATATATATATATATTTTTGAAAGATTGTAGATATTGAAAAAGATAAAATGATATGAATGAGATTTATTTTTCAAGTTATAAGCAACTTAATATCGTA